TGTACCATTACTGCAGCCCTACCAGAATGGCTAATGTATTTTTTTTTTTAAGTTGACAAGCTCTGGCCAGTATGGCTCAGTTGGTTGGAGCATCGTCCCTTAACCAAAATGTTGCAGATTCAACTCCCAGTCAGGGCACATAACTTGTGGGTTAGATTCCTGGTCCACAATCCCCAATTTGGGCACATATGGGAAGCAGCCAATTGACCTTTCTCTCATACATTGATATTTCTCTTTCTCCCTTCCTCTCTCTCTAAAAAAGCAATGAGAAAAATAATCTTGGGTAAGGATAAAATAAATGTTGACAATACCAGGATACACTAGAAATACTAGAAGTCTCATAAATTCCTGATGAAAATGGAAACTGATATAGCCATTTTGGAAATTTCTGTTTCTTATACAGTTAAATATATACTTACCATATAGTTCAGCGATCTTATCCTTAGATGTCTTCCCAAGGGAAATAAAAACTTATGTTTACACAAAACCTATACCAACTGTATTGCCAAACACTGGAAACAATTCTTAACTGGTGAATAGATTAACATACAGTAGAATACAACTCAGCAAAAAAGAGACTGCACTACTGTTCCTCACATCACCATGGCTGCATCAAAAAAGCATTGTACTAATTTAACAAAGCCTGTCTCACAGGGCTAGCTACATACTCCATGATTCCATTTAAATGACATTTTGAAAAAGGCAAAACTCTAGGCCCAGAACACACATCAGTGGTTATGAGGGGCTGGAGTGGGAGGGGGAGATGTTTACTGCAAAGGGCACAAGGGATTTTGGGGAAGTGATAGAAAAGTTCTATATTTTGTTTGTGGTACTGGTTATACAACCTGCATGTGTTTTTCAACACTCGTGAAATTGCACACTAAAAAGTGTTGCATTTACTGTATATAAATGATATTTTAAGAAATCTATTTTAAAATCAATACAATTTATTAGAACATCAAAAACAACAAATATCTAGGAATAAATCCAATAGAAGGTATACAGTATCTCAATATGGAAAACCATGAGCATTACTGAGATAAACATTATAAAAAGGTCAATTCCCCCAATACATCTTTAGAGTCAATGAAATCACAATAAAAATCCCAGATTTTATGTGTGCATCAAAAAAAAATTAGAATGAGGAGCTCTGCTCAAAGCATAAAGAAGTGACAGACATGCCACAATAGGTATTCTGAATTACCTAAAGCAGGAAGCCCATGGGAACTGTCAAATCTGCCAAAAATCAACAATAGACACCTAATTAAGAATCATGAAAATAAGGGTAAAACCAAGAAAAAGCCAATGAACTGAGTAAATGGAGAACGAAATGGTACTTACAAGTGGTCAGGATACGTTATGACCCAACTAGGCCTTTGATTAGTATTCACTGAGCTAAGATAGTGCTAGGTGCTCATATATCCATTATCTCCATCACCACCAAAACCACCTTGCCAGTTGTTAAGGAAGCCACTATTATTTCCATTTCATAAATAAGAAAACCACGGCTTTGTAAGGTTAGGTGTCTGTCCCATATCACAAGTCCAGTGAGTGACAAGATTTATTATACAAACCTAATGGTCCCAGTTTGCTTCTCAGTTAAGGTATAATTGGTTAACCAAAACTGCTAAGTGTCATAACACTTTGTGGTCAGACTTTGTGGAGCATGAAGACCCAAAGACTATGTCACACTAGGGACTATAATACTTGCAAATCAGCACTGCATATCTGATGCAGTATAGTTTGGGGCAGATTGTGTCACTGTAGCAAGAAAAAAAATCTAAATAATTAATTTAAAATCTTTGAAGGCATGAAACTTGATTAAGATTATAATCCTTCATGTTTTGTGAGTATAGACAAAGAGATGTAAATTGTGAGATGTTCATATTCTACACAAAAAGAAAATTATGTACCTGACAGCATCCTGACCACCATGAACAGCCATACACTGCATTGAGTCTATGTGACACAATGCAGCCGGTTTCGCACTTGGGCCATCTGCTTTTTGCTGGGCCCCAGGAAGAGAAGGATGCTGCTTAAGGCAACTTGGGCCACAGGTTAAAGTCGGCTTCTTCAGTGACAGGACTGCATATGCACATGACATCAGCAAACAGGGGAGATGCTGGCCTTGACTGAAGGTAAACTGGAAGGTTTCCAACTGCTTGGACCTTAGGAAAGACAACTTTTATAAAACCACAGGGGAGCGTTGGTGACACCGTAAGCCGTGGAGGGGTTTTCAGGCAGATGTCTGGCAAGCCAACACCAGCCAGCAGGCCTATACGAGGCAGAAGCAGCCTCAAGATACAGCCTGCTGCAATTCGATGTACATTTCAGTTAGAACACACTTGCTGTACTTATGAGGGGCGTGACCTCGACCGATTGCAGGTTGCCAAGACACAGTAAGAAGCAGCTAGGCAAGGATTCAAGTATAGAAAAGAGTCTTTCCATGTACATAAGCCCTTTTGAATATTAGGAGGTGAAACTTTTAAACAGTAAGTCAATTCAAATGCTTTTATGCTACAAAGCTCGGTAGTCTGGCTCTAGCTTTTTTAAGTAGAGCTTACCCAGATATGTATCACCATGTCCATCACCCCGGAGCCATCCTGCATTCAAGGCAGGGAGCAAACCATCAATCAGCTTAACTCGGGCTCATGTGGCTCAAAAACCATCCCCATCACATGCCCCATTTTGACTCTAGGTGATTTAATTTGTAGGAGAAAGAAATCTTCACAGGAGGTGAGTTTCTTAATCCTAATCAATTCCAAAGCAAGAAGCAATTGAAACAGCTCCTGGGCAGAGGAGTGAGAGGCCCACTCACAAGAGAATATTGACAATAGCCTGTGATGCAGTGCATTCACTCAGTTCAGTCCCTAGAGGCTTGGATAACATCAACAGGCATGAAGCTTAAAAATAAAAAGCATTGTTTCAGATTAACAGAAACTAAAGAGACGTGACAATTTAATGCAGCATATAATTGGATCCAACCTAGACCACGAAAACTGTGTTTGCCATAAAGGACAATATTAGTATGATAAAGGATTATTGAAGAAATTTGAAAAATGTCTGTAGATTAGATAATAATACCATAGCAATGATAATTTTCTGACTTTGGAAATTACACTGTGGTTGGTAATGGAATGTCTTTGTTTGTAGGAAACAAAAAAATACACACAGGAGTGTTTACAAGTAAAGTATGCATGTGTGGATTGGTGGGTTGGTGGGTAGGTGGATGGATAGATGGAGTTAAAGAAAACAGAGCTGGACAATAGTTAAAGCAGTATAACACAGATCTCATTTCCAATAAGGGAAAAGAGATCTCAGTATAGAATTAGGCTTCATTCTGAATATAACAAGAAAAAATGGGGATTTGTAACCTAGGATCAGATTGGGACAGGTTTGTACATAAAAATTATTACAAAGAGACATCAAGGGTAGGGGGTTCTTGCTACACAACTTAACAGGTGTTCCTGTTAAAGGCAAGTCAAGGTTTCATATATAAAAGATAAGGGATGAGCTATTTGATAGGATATGGTAGATGGGAGGGGAGTCAGATATCAAAGCTGAGAGGATTTTCTCTAGACTTAGGAGGATTCTTTCAAAAACGGGGTAATGTAGACCCAATAAGGACAAACACAGAAGTCCAAGGTCAAATCCTAGTTGAAAAGAGGGCTCATAGGAGCCTGATTAAAGCTTGGTCAATGAATCTGTCTTTGTTAGTGAATAGAGGGATGGATGGATGGATGGATGGATGGATGGACAGACACAGACCTATATATGCTTGTAAATGTTTAACAACGGGCTCTTTTGGGGGGAATCCCTAATCTATAACTTTGGTTCCTTAGTGTAAATACTCCCATATAGTTACTTTTAAGCTACCAAGGTGGGGTCCCTGGATGCAGTGCTAGGGAGAACTGCTGGCCTGTGAGTGGCAGGCTCCAGCACAGCCCTGGGTAATTCTCTGTGCTACCTTTGCAAATCTTCTGTAAGTCTGAGATCGTTTCAAAATAAAAAGTTAAAATTTTTAACATATATATAAACTCCCTATATCATAAATCTATTATAAAATTATTTTTCTAGAGATTGGGTACAGCAAATTTTTAAACCTTAGTTCTCTTTAAGTGATGGCAAACTACAGTATAACCACAATGTCTACGTTAAACAGTACTTTTTCATACTAACAGACAACAAACAACAAAAGGCTAAGGTCTATCACAGAGAAATACTGATAGAATTCACATTATTGATCATTGAATTAATCAGGTTATATTACTGATAAAGCTTCAGGCGTGGATTTCACCCACAATACAGAAAAATCCCGCTGTGCCGGGGTCACACACCTCCCCATCCCCACGTCATCCAGGCTGGGTATCGCCTGTGTATACCAAAGAACTGAGGCATGAGGGATGGAGTGACTCAGTAGAGTTTGCTACTAAACACTCTCTAAAGCTACATCTAAACGGTGGGTCAGCTGTGTCCTCTTCGGTTTCTTCAAGGACAACGTGGTTTTCAGGCCATAGAAAGATACTAAAAACTGATGGTCATGATGTCATTGCTGGAACTCAAGTTTTTGCTAAGTTCTGCTCCTTGTGATTAAGTCCGTTTCCTCAGATGCTCAAAGAAACTAAAGTCCACTAAGCTTACATTTTTATAGTGACGCCCAAAGAGAAAATGAACAGAATGTGGAAGGCGAAATTTCTGTGAACCTGGCATCACAGACCAGACCTTCAGACAAACCAACTAAAATGCAATGAATTCTTAGTCATACCAAACATGACAAACTTCTAATGTCATTCCAAACCATGGCTTTCGTGAAGCACTTGTCAAGTTCTTTGGTGCTAAACAAAATAAAATAAAATAAATAAAATAAAATAAAATAAAATAAATTTAAAAATCTGAAATCTAACTTATTAGCAATACATACAGGTGTATGAGCCCTGCCACAGTGATTACTGATGACATAAGAGCTAAAATTGGAATGGAATGAACATTTTGTATGAACACAGATTTAACAATTTTTTTATTTAAGTGAATAAACTCCAAAAATATCACATGGTTGTTTTACGCTTGATCCAGTCTGCATGTTGCAGCTCATCGAGGGCATTTCTGATGTTCTCAATACAAACTTCTCCTCTGCGATGTTTTTTGGATGCAAGGTTCCATACATTCTCAAATTCTTCATCAGAAAGCTTGACACCGATGTTACATAGTATCTGTGCAATCTAGAAGAAAACATGGAAAGTCAAGATTTATGTTTATAAATTTGTATTTTTGCCATGTTTATAACATGTAAGACTACAAATATTTATCCAAAAGAAAAGGTACATAGGGAAAAAGGGGGGTAATGTGTGTGTGTGTGTGTGTGTGTGTGTGTGTGCGCGCGCGCGGGAACGCGCTTATTACATATAATGAGCAAATATCAAAATTCCAGGACTTTCATTTCAGGAGGAATTTTGTGAAGATGAATATGAGGGTGTTCAACTATAATAGCCAAAGTATAAAACTGCTTTCAACTCTAAATGTTTTTGGTTATTTTAAAGGGAGGCAGGCAAATTCCAGCAAAGAGAGTTACAAATAGAATACGTGCTGTATTTGAGTTCCGTCTCAGTCACTTCTTGTCAGTGTGATCTTATGTCATACAAGCCCCTTGAAAATTAGTTTCTCTTCTTTAAATAAGAATGTGTATAAAACACCTCTAACTGGCCTGTTGCAAACTTTAGTTCTGGGTGTGCAACTGCCAGGGAGATTGTGCATGCACAAGCAACTGAGCAGACTGAAATCTGAGCATATTGAAAACCAGCAAACTTTGGTTATTAATACTCACTCTGCAATAATAATTTTTAAAAGAGATGAAGGAAGAGGGAACATATGCTTCTCAAGTCCCAGAGAAAGTATAAGAAAGGAACGATTAAGAATTAGCAGTGAAAAGAAACATTAGAATGAGCAGAGGGGAATAAAAGATTTGAAACAAGCAAACAAAGAAGAAACTAAATTTTAAAGAGGAAAAACATTTACTATAAAGTGTACCAGGGGGGGAAAAAGCAAAGAGGGAACTGGAAATGAAAGGTTAGGGAATAGGGAAGCCAAAGAAATAGAGTAGTTGCAGAATACATCTATTAAGCAGAATCTGAACAACAATTAAAAGATCCCCTAGAAATGATCTGTCCTTGTGGGAAATTAACAGTATAATCAAATACACTTGAAATTCCGAAGAACAGCTCTGCCAGCAGCTGCAGCTGTACAGCAAAAACACCTCGAGGTCCCTCTGCAGGGTTGCTATTTCCCTGCGCCCAGCGGCAGGTGGAGAATGTCCCCGCGGAGTGAACGCCGCAGACGCAGACGTGGTCAGAGTGAACGTGGTCTGAGTCAGCCTTGGGCATCCCAGAGCTCCTCTTCTGCTTCGTTTCCCCCTCCCCAGGAGGCAGCCTTCCCAAGTTCAGCATTACAATGAGTATTGATTAGCTAATGTAATACTGTTACAGAAACCCACATCTATTCCCAGGTTAACTCCAACCAGGCCTTCGGGTCTTACTTTTCATCTCAAATTGTGAACTAAAGGACGACTTCCTAGTTAAAAAGAACTTTAGGCTTCATAAAACAAGCAGGAGATTTTCACAGGGTTTTTTGTCTGTTTGTTCTTTTGGCAACCCTGACCTTCAGTTTCATGGGCCCTTTGAAGTGACTGAAGGAACTGAAAACACAGACCGGGTGTGCCTCTTCCCTGACCCGCTAGGAAGGATCCTGAGTTCCTTCTTTGGAACCAACCAGGAGGCGTGGTCCTCTGAGCTTCTCCCTTCCTGTCTCCCCCACCGCAACAGAATGAATCATTGCAATGAATCCATTATTAATTTAGTATTTAGTAAGTTTTCAAGCCATCGCCCCTTCATCCGAAGTCCCAGAAGGCTTCGTATGTCTATTTACACCATTTCTCCCTCCAGCTCAGAAGGTTCTGGGGAAGCAGTTTCTCGCTAGATCACTGGTGCAGTGCTAACCACGTTGGTCTGACCCGGCGCTCCCATTAATCCTCGGCCCTCTGAACCCCAGTGACTCACTGGCTGCTCCTGCTTTGATTATCTAGGAAGAAAATCACCTGGGATACAAGGACCCTGTTTTCTGAGAAAAAAAAAGAGAGAAAACAAAATGGATGGGCTGGCACCTAGTACGGGACCGAGTATTTGACACCAGTGCCGCTGCGATCATCAACGGAGCTTGACAGCAGCAGCGCAGGGGAGGGTGGGGAGCGCCCGCCCCGCACGGACTCTCTGGTTCCGGAGACGCAAGCACTTACACACAAAAAAGACTGATCCTTTCGGCTGCTTTTTTCAACTAAGAATGATGTTGAACGGTTTAGGAAAACATTTTTCTTTTTATCACAGGACCCAGTGAATATATGAGGTCAAAGTAATGCTTGCTATCATAGACTAAATTCTACTTCAAGAATCGTACCGAAATGTCACAACCAATTTGAACATCACCCTCAAGCATCATTTATTTGGGGACCCTGATGACTTCTCATGTCTAATATAAAAGCTCAAGTTTTATAAGGTCTAATAGTCAGTACTTGTTGATATATAAACATTCCTACATGTATGTATTTATGTCAAGCAGACATTTCTTTCGACCCTTTTGAAATAATATGCTGTACCTCTTTTTTGGATCTGCTCTGGAAGAAGTCTCTTTCAAACACTCCTTTCTGGCCAAAGATGCTAGGATGTAGTAATGAATAGGCATTGCCCTCTTCACCATAGTCAGTTCTGTCGCTGATGCGGCGAAATCGGGGGGCAGGAATATCAGACCGAATGGTTGGAACACCGTGGATGGGATAACCTAGGACATCAGCGAGGGAGGAAAACACACAGTGTGAAACTGAGCTGTAGAATACAGTAGCCAGCAGCCACATGTGGTTATTTCGAGCCCTTGAAATGTGACTGAGATGTGCTATAAGTGCAAAATGCACCCTGGATGTCAAACATTTTGTAGCAAAAAGTGAAATATTTAATTAATCACTTTATATTGATTACTCATTAAAATGACAATATTTTGGAGATACATATTATATACAAAAATATACATACTGTTAAAAGCAATTTTACTTTTCTTTTTCTTAATGTGGCTACTGAAAATTTATAAGCACATATGACTCCAGTTATATTTCTATTAGACAGCATCATTCTATTTCTTTTAACATTTCTTTTATTGTTGTTCATGTACAGTTTTCTGCCTTTTCCCCCACCCCTTCCCAACATCCTAGCCCTCCTCACCTCCCTCCCCTGTTTCCCCCCTTCCCCTTGTTGTTGTCCATGTGTCCTTTATCATTGTTCCTGTAACCCTTCACCCTTTTCCTCTATTATCCCCTCCCCTCTCCCTTCTGGTCACTGTCAGCCTGTTCTGTTTCAGTGTCTTTGGCTATACTTTGCTTGCTTATTCCTTTTGTTGATTAGATTCCTGCTAATGGTGAGATCATATGGTATCTGTCCCTCACTGCCTGGCATATGTCACTGAGCATAATGCCCCCCAGTTCTGTCCATAGACAGCATCATTCTAAAGAATAGCAAGACCTCAGTATGCCAGAACATATAGCAAGTCTATAAAATCCAGCTACAAAAAATATGTAAATCCTTAAACATGTCCTTAGTCCAAGGAAGTGATCTTAACCAACATAAAATAGTCTAATAACCAATGTTCATCATACTTGATATGGAGATATAGAATATTATGGGTTAAACTGTATCTTTCCCAGATTTATGTGTTCTAACCCCTAGAACCTAGAATGTGACCTTATTTGGAAATAGGGTCCAAACAGATGTAATTAAGATGAGATCATACTGGAGTAGTCCCCTCACCTATTATGTATGACCTGGGATCCTTAGGTCATACATAATATGTATGTTCTCTGGGATCCTTAGAGAAAGGGGACATTTGGCCACACAGACACTCACATAGGAGAATGCCGTGTGAAGATGACGGCAGATGATGGCAGATGACGGGGAGATGCAGCAGAAGCCAAGTTGTGCCAGCTCTGCCAGCAAACCACCAGAAGCTAGGGGAGAGGCAGGGAACAGATTCTGCCTCCCGGCCCTCAGAAGGAAACAACCCTGCTGACACCTTGATCTTGGACTTCTAACCTCCAGAACTGTGAGATGGTACACTTACGTTGGTTAAGCCATCCAGTCTCTGGTACTTGCTATGGAAGCCCTAGCAAACTAATAGAGAATGAAGATAGTGAGAATTGTTTTGTTAGAGCTCTTCAAATATTTGAACGCAAATCTGAATGTAGCTAAGAGTCACATTTTTTAAAAGTCTCCTAAAGCTTGGTGATGTTTCAATTCCTACAATGTATACCATTCAGTGTTCTGATCTATGATGGTTTTGATTTCATTAATATAGAGAGAATCCTTTCACTGGGATCATCACCAACAATAGTTCAGTTCAGCCTAAACTTACTGAGACCCCCTGGGTGCTTGGATACAGAATTAAATGAAAGATTCTAGGCTTTGAGAAACGTAAAGTCTGAAGTCTAATGCAAGGACAGGTGAAGGACATGTCACTTCCACATTTGCTGATCATTTTAAACCTCAACAACTATGGTGACATACTCACAAATGGAAGGAACAGCTCCTACAACCGCATTAATCTCAGAAGAAGAGGTCTTATGATGACTGGCAACTTTATCGCTAGGCCTCTGAAGTGTCCGGAGGGTCTTTTCTGAGTCCCCACTTAAGACAATATCTTCAGGCTTTATCAGGAGAGTTGGTTCAGATTCTTGGACATTAGCCTCAGCAGAGTTTAAACAATCTGGCTTTCTACCTTTAAGCAAAGAGGGAAAGGGAAGGAAAGTACAGGGAGAAGTTACTACTTGGTTCTTCCAACTCTGCAGCAAAATCATTTTTCCCATTCAGTTTCTTCCTGCTGGTGGAAACTGAGCTGGGGCTGTAGTAAATCCTGCATGGATACCAGCACCCACCCCACTGTAGAAGAGCAAGTTCAGGCCAATGTCATACACCAGGAAATTAGAACCTGGTCCAATGTTTCTTTTCTCCATTCCACTCGTTTGACTCTAGAATAAAGCTTTTAGATCCAAAAGAATGAAAATATAGAACCTATTTTTTTCTTTCTTCTTTTTTTAAATCAGTGCTTATTTTCATATTTTACTTGAACTATAGGATTGCCAGAGTTGCTCCCAAGTCTCTGCACTAGGAGGATATAGAAAAAGACATATTTTGAGTTGTGAATTCCACACATATCTGACCAAGGAAGGGGAGCCCCGTATGTTGCAACATTTGGAAAAATGATGAGAACTCACTATGAGCTCAGAAACTGATTATAAATAACTCCCTTAAAATCAGTCTATAAAAGAAAACCCTGAAATCATAAGATTCTGGCCTGTTTTGCAGATTAGCTTTGCTGAACCAATTAGGAAATTTAAGAGTACATTCCTGACATTGTTTCAAACAGAGCTGCTAACTTGACAACTAGCAGTAGAGGGCGCTGTGGTCCTTCATTCTCTACAGGAACTCGCAGTTCTGAAAAAGTTCAAGCAAGCTTTGTAAAGGCAAATGGTGCCCCAGTATGAGAATGAGGTGAGAACTGTGGCTAACCAGAAGACAAGCCTCGGTCAAGTCTGCACTCCCAGGGAATTCAGCACCTAATGACTCTTGCCATGAAAGCATTCAGGCCCATTCCAGACCCTCAAATCCTCTCCCCACCTCCACCACCTCCCCATACAGAAAAACCAGAAATCTGTTCAAATAAAGAAGTTCCTCGGAAAAGTGTTTGAAAGCCACTGTCTTAGAGTACTTACCCACCCCTTCACCCTTCCTCCCAAAGTCAACAGTAAGAGAGAACTTGGTGTAAGACAATCCCTGAGCCCCTTCTGAAGCACCGACCACTGTCTTAGAAGATGAAAAATCTCAAGAATTCCATTGAAAATGGCTGACAAAGTCAGGACCCAAAATCCAAGAACAATTTGAAAGACTGGTTTGAAAACAGGCTTCTGCTTTTTCCCCACTACTCATTAGTCATGCCAAGAAGAAGAAAAAAAAACACCCATATTTCTGACAGCTTAATTAGGTAGAGAAAATTCTCCTGCTGCCCTAGTGGGTAGACTGACATGGCCTTGCAGAAAGACATGACCAAGGAATAGACATGAAAACAGTAGTATCTTCACTTTTTAGAAGAGAGAAAATAAAATTGTAAACAACCTTCTTAAATAGCCAATCCTCTCTAATAATCAAGATTCGAACATTAAAGCAAATGATGGATCACTATATAGCAGCTAAATTAGAGGACTGTTTGAAATAACATTCAATAAAACATGGCTGCAGTAAAATTGTCTCCCAGCCTTGGCTGACAAAGTTGCAAATTGGTCAAATCATTTAGAAAAAGCAAAACAAAAAATATAGAAAGACAGTTAACTTCTGGGATAATAATAACATTCATAAGAAATGAGATATGATTAGAAACACAAAGCTGAGAGTTAATAATCATTAAAGCATTACCCGTATTACGTTAAAACTGTCTGGAAACAACCTAAATTTCAAAGAGTGGAGAAATAGTTTCATAATTTATAATACACCAGCATGAGGGAACTGAAAATGAAGTTTACAGAACACATAAAAGTATCTCTTCATTCCATAGAAATTTGACATTAAATTTAAAAAATTAAATAAAAATGGTGAATCACGGTCAATTTAGATATGTTTAAATATGTGCATATACACATACAAATATGTATATATCTATATATGATTAGTGATGTAAGAATATAATATATAATCATGAAAATATTTAAATAAATGTAAAGATTATGGTTTCCCTTTTTTCTTCAAAGATTTAAAAGATTAAATTTTCCTTTGTCAAATTCTACTTCACTTACTGACTTTCCCTGATGGAAGAGAGCTAATTACAGAAATGATTTTCAAACAGCTTTCTGAGGAACTATATATACTATTTTGTGCTTCTGAATAACTTCTTTTGCTGTCAATTTTTTTTCTTAAAGGAGTAGTACATGCTTCTAAATTCAAAAGACACAAAATATAGGTTAAACAGTGAATCTTGCTGGCACCCTATCCTTCGGCTACCCTGTTGCCCCTCCCTAGCAACATCAAATGTTATCAAATTCTTCCCTATCTTTCTACAGATATTCTATGCATAAACAAGCAAATAAATAAATATGTCTACACATATAAAAATCTACATATCTAAAATATATAATATTGAAATTGAGAAGAGATGAACTCCTAGAAAAATAAAAATGTAAAAGTCCATTTAAGAATTCAGCTAAGTTTCAAAAATTACCTTTAATGACAACCCTCTCTTCATACTCTTTAAGAGGCATTTTATCTTTCCAGTTAAGAAAATTTGCAAATTCCAGGTAGTTAATCAGCCCGTCATTATCCACATCGCAGTAGTCAAATAGCAGGTCCAACAGCCTCTCATCCAAGCGCAGGTGGGCCTGACCACAAGCTTCTCGAAGCTCAGCTTTATCTATCACCCCATCTCCTTTCTGTGAGACATGCAGCAAAAAAGGTGAAGTGAGCATTGCCTTCCAGAGCAGAGAATGCAACAGCTATTATTTCACTTAAGAAAAAAAAAAGATGTACTAACTGGTGTGGCTCAGTGGATTGCGCGCCAGCCTGGGAACCAAAGGGTCGCTGGTTCAATTCCCAGTCAGGGCACACACCTGGGTTGCAGGCCAGGTCCCTAGAAGGTGGCGCCATGTGAGAGGCAACCACACATTGATGTTTCTCTCCCTTTCTTTCTCCCTCCCTTCTCCTCTCTCTAAAAATAAATAAAATCCTTTTTAAAAAAAAAGAAAAAAAGGAAGTTCTATCACATAAATTCAATGAATTTGTCTTATTTTTCACAAATGAGGAGTCAAATGTTAAGCGAGATTGGTCTTTGTGTCGACCTAATATGTGCCGTGGTGTCAGCCCTGGTTGGAGCAGGGTGTGGCTTAGAATCTCTGCTCATTCTATGTAATAATCTTTTCATTTAAATCATGCTGTTCACACAGTGGTGGAGCAGATGTGGCCACGATTCACGCTTGCCATTTCATCTGCCCAGTGTTGTGTACTTTTGACAGCTCTCTACAACGTTTCATGCTTTCAAAGTGTTCTGGTGTCCCGATGGGGTAGCAAATGATCCTCCACTTCACTACCTGGTAATGAGAAGAAATTGGGGAAGTAGCTGTCATCCAAGTCCAGGGAGGCGGACTCAAAGACAGTTGCTTGCTTGTTATTAACGCCCCTATGGGCAAGAGGAACCTGCTACCATTTTGGTGGTCAGCCCAGGAGGGGAAGTTTCCACCCCCTTTCAGAGAATAGTTAAATATAGGAGCACCTACGCTGAGTGTGATAGGAGGGAAATTTATGATGGCTCTGGGCAGAAACCGGCTGATCCACCTGGGACATGAGGAGGCAGAGCACACAGCCCTCGTTAAGGAAGAATGACAAGATCTGGGGTGTGTTACCACTCAGCCCCTCCTGTAGTCTATGCAGCCAACCTTCAATCCCTTCGGAGATGACAGTAAAGGATCTGTGTGTTTCCAGCTGGTCCTGGCTGTTATAAGGGGGCTTCGACCCTCTCAGAAAGATTTCTCTGACACAAAATACAATGTAAGCAAGAAACAGAAGAAGAAGAAAAAGAAAAACGGTAAGAGAAAGGAGAAAATATAAACGAGAGAGAGAGAGAGTTCTCGGAGGCAGACCAGGGAAACCATAAATGACTCACTGACTAGTGTTCAGCTCATATGCCCAGGATTGGATTTACAATGATAAACATGATCCCTGGAGACCGAGAAATGACCCAGTGATTCTAAATAAATCCCTGTCATCAGCGCCGTGGGCCTGGAAAATGTCCCTGACCCTTATGTTGAAACAGAATGAGAATTTAAAACATATTCTTTTTTTCTAATGCATCCGTTGCTATTAAAATGTATTATCTTAACAAGGGAGCTACAAATGCCCTGGGTTAAAATAGATTCCTTTATAAAAGCCTCTGCAGCAAACCCAAGTCAACCAAAAATGCAAACCCCACAGCCCTGACTAAAAAGCAATATGGGCTGTGGCTGTTGAATCAAGAGGTATTCAAAACTGAAATAGATGGTGTAACTAATGGTGGCCTTGCGGCCCAGTGTGGGGCTTTGTGTAGACTGAAAACACCGGTGGTTTTTTTCATTTGTGTGGCCTGATAACTCTGGTGGTTTGTTCCTTTGAGCTGCCTGCCGCCACCATACCACTCAAAACTGAAAGCATGTTTCTCACTGGTGCAGAGCTTCTCTCTCCCTCTGGACCCTCGATCTCTCCCTTGCCGTACCCCAACCTCAGCAGCTGTAAGAAGAAGGATGACTAGATGTGGGACTCAAGTCTCCCTGTCCCTAAGGGAGATCAAAGGCCACACACATCTGTCCAAGTAGGTCGTGAAACTTCAGTGGGCAGAGAGTCAAACTTTTGTGGCTTCTTTGGATACAGGTGCTAAAGGCATCCTCCTCCTCAGTCTGCAGGGTTGGGGAGAGATCTACATGCATCAGGGGCGGGGGTGAGGGGACAGGGTTTGTTTGAAGTGGAGAAGGAAAGCTAGCAAGAGTATGTTTCTGTGGCTTCCAATATGAATGTATAATTGATATTGATACTTTGCATCCCTGTACTGTGAATGTTCTTAAGAGCTGGGGCACTTATGATTAAGAAGAGCCACATGTAGAGAATTGCCAGCATTAATACCTGGGGGACCCCACAGCTCAAACGACCCCTTTGAACTACAAGTCTCCATGACTAATGATTTTGCCACTTGGAGCCACTGGAAATGAGAGGCAACCTCCACTTGGAAGTGCCCCTTGAGGTTTAAGACTCATTGTTCCCCTTACCCTATAACTACGTGGACACCTTTTGAAAAGCAGCTATTAGCCAGCTACTGAGCTATTGTTGAAACTGGACACCTGACCCATGGAGGCCTTGTGACTTGACAGATCGATCAACATTTTGAAGGGAGCTGACTTAGACTCAATGATTAGCAAGGTAGAAAGGGCCTAACAAGCCCCATTTGTGACATGGTAATGACATACTCAAGAAGGCAGCCGGTCTGGCCCCAGTAACATCTAAGCTTTACATGAAAAAGGGCAGCAATGCTTTGGGGGAAATTTTTATTCATCTTTGCTACCTAGAGCAAAAGTCACTGGCTCAACAGGACCCTCAGCTCACTGAGGCTCTCCAAGCACTGGGGCCTCATTCACTAACCTGAGAGCCAATGGTCTTCACTGGGCTGCTGCGGCTTTGAACCTCAATGAGAGCTCTGAGGGACCAAAAATAGACATGGCCACTCTACTCAGTGAACAGAACTCAGGGCCATTCCCATGGCTTTGGGCAATCCTCCCTTTGATGAACCCACTACAGTTTTACTGACTCTTGGACTGTTGCCAACGGCCTGCCAGTGTGGTTTGCTACTTGGAAAGCTACAGACTGAAAGATTAAAGACACTCCTTTTGGAGCCTGTAAACTACGGAAACAAATCATGGTTACTGAATAAGCTCTCTGGGTAATTCATATAGATGACCATGAGAAGGGTCCATTCTCTAATGAGAATAACTGGAATCCAGCTTCTGACTGAGCCTGAACCATTCAGATTGCCACCATTGCCGCCTAGATCCATTGTTGTACCAGACACGGCACCACACCCACCGTAACAGACAAGGCACAGGGTAAAGCACTCTGTGTTTCCGATGCAGAGGCCACCACTGTGGCCAAACTGCGACTCCTGTCAAAGGTTGACCCATTTGTCTCATGATGAGGGAGGACACATCACACACAAGGCATTGCTCCATGCTACTGGAAGGCTGACTACATCGAATCTCTTCCCATCTCAGAGCTATTAATGGTGCTTCACCACTGTTGACACATTTTCAAGTTATGGAATTGCTGTTCAAGTCTAATCAACCCGCTGCAGTATGGCCCATGAAATTAATCTGTCATGTGCTTTGCTTTCTGGACTGTTTTCAGTCTGACAGTGCTGTGCCTTACAGCACAAAAGCTACTCAACAATGAGTTAAGCAAGGTATTTAATGAACCTTTCCTGTTCTCAACTATTTACAGCCATCTGGTACTACTGAGCTCTGGAACAGCCTTCTCAAAAATTGACTCCCTTCCTTATCAGCTCCTGCTCATACATCTTGTAGTAAAGCAGTTTTGTCTCTGAATGCTGTTGTCCCCTAAAAGGAACCCATTCATCTCAGCTACTTCCTGATAATTTATCTGGATAATAATCAGATAAAAGGAGTAAGAATTATATAAACCTATTTTGAAAATTTGGGGGTTTCTTGTGACCACTCTTGGACATGATGCATTATTTTCCCCTCTGGATTTTAAGTTCCCTAAGTGGAAAGTCCACATTATTCAAAATAATGTTTAATGGATTGGGAGTGTTCAATAAATAGCAGAATTAATCCTCTATTTTATTTGCTCTCTTTTGTTTTGTTTTGCCATTAAACTAAAAATGAGCATTCAACAATATAAGATTCAAATAATCAAAAATTATCCTACAGCTGCTGTAGGAAGACCCACATCTTATTACCCTTTCAGAAAAAAGCTCCTCAAGGACAGTGAGCACTACATTGTGCAGATTAAAAGTTCACTATTTAAAAGGTGTATCGGCATTAAATAATTCTCAGTAATTTCTTCCCTGCTTAATTTAATTTTATCACAAGGAATATGCCTGCTGGTTCACTAAGATAATCAACAGCTATTGAGATGATCATCTTGCCTATAATTACATTTAAAATGAAGATTATTTTAAAAGCAGAGCACTATGTATTGTGGTAGGTTTTCTTATTCATATCACTGCTGTATAAATTTCCCTGGATATCATCTTTGTAAGACAATTGGATTTGAGTTAAGTTTAAAATGTACTTGTTTTAGCATTTAATTCTGAATAATCCTTTTTAAATTACCTGCAAATAGCTATTACTCTCTACTAAGAAACAGAGAAACAGTTGAATACTTATATTTTCTTTAAACACAACTTCATGAAAAATGTAGTTGATGACTGATCAGTGTGTGTCTCTACATAATTACATACACATAAATGAGAATATTAACCCACTTTTTATTCATTAGTACTGCACAAGTACACAAGCCCTAATCTAAAAGCAAATAAAATAAATGGACTTAGAATTAATTAGCCAATGAGTGAGCAAGATTCTTTCAAGATAAAAAAATATAATGTGTAACTCTTTCAAAATTGCACTCAATAGTGGAAGAGAAATAGGAATACTGTATTTTTTATTTCTGAGATAAACTAAAATTATTCTGCTCTCTCTTCTCATATCAAGATTATGATACATTGCATCATCACAGATTTATTTATAAACATTTATTTGCTTATATTAGAGTCACTCTAAAATGGTTCTGAGGAAAATAAATACAATTGATAAAAGTAAACATAAGTACAAGATAAAAACAGAGCCAAAACAAAAGTGAGGAAATCAAGGCAAAGAGAATATAAGATGGAAAAAATTAAGATAAAACCTGAATAAAAAGATCATACAACACGTATGCTATGAGATCATGTTCACAAATTAGATGGGTTACATTGAATTGGTTCTGAGCTTCCTGGGTGCCAAGTCAAAAAGATATAGCAATTATTACAAAATTCATGTTGTTCATGAAGTAAAACAAGCCAAATTCTTAGATTAAGCACAGTTATTTCCTGTAGAAAGAACGAGATTTCCTCATAGAGAGGATGCACATGACCAAAATAAATAGTCTCGTGGGCGTATTAACAAAAATGAGCTGTGTTTCACAAGCAGTTTATATAACAGTGTTCCTCAGTGTAACCTAAAGGCATGCAGCTTGATAAAACAATCCTGAGATAACCTATAATGGTGTCAGGTAACTATGCAGCTCTAGACTGATCTGACTTGACCAAAAGATAAAATTTAGAGTAGCTTGAAAATTGAATTATGGTATATTGCCTTCTCAAAACTGAAACCACACCCTGCTCCCCGGGGGGAGAGACAGTCTAAGTTTGACTGGGACCTAGGTTGATGGTACTACGTGTACATATTCGGATTTAGGTGTAGGTTGTCTCTACCTCAGAAGCCTTCCCCAGGGCCACAGCACTTCCCTCCCCCTGCTCCCAGCACAATACACTTAATCATGTACAACAGTGCTTCTCAAACTTGAATGTGCACCAGAATCACTTGAAGGGCTTGTTAAAACCACAATTGCTAGGCCCCACCCTAGAGCTCCTAGTTCAGTAGGAGTGGGCATTGCACTGTGCATTTTCAAACACATTCCCAAACGAAGCTGATGGTGGTACCAGAACCATACTTGGACAACCACTGATCTACTCCAAGAGTCAGCCAACTTTTTCTGTTAAGGATCAAAAACATAAATATTTTAGGTTTTGCAGGTCCTGCAGCCTATGATGCACTACTCTGTATTTGTTATGCAAAAACAGCCATACACAATACTTAAATACAAATAAAACTATTTACAAAAACTGGATTTGACCCTCAGGCCATAGCTCCCTGACCCCTGGTCTGCACCAACCTGCAGGGATCTGTAACCCCAAGCACAGACCAAAAAGCTCCGCTCTACTACTGGCCTTGTCATAGTGCCTGAAGGCTGCCAGCAAAGTGTCAAAGTTTTGGAAGTTCACGCTCTTCAGGCGATGACGAACTGCTGCAACCAGGGCTCGCTGCCTATCCTTGCCTCGGCGATATTCACCCGGGAGTCTATTGTAGATGAGATCATCAGCGCCTATTGAAGAGGAGACAAAAAGTCCTTTACCTGAATTTAAATTTTGTCAATAGTATTTCCATCCTAAAGAAAGAGGGAGAGTGTGATTGAGCAACTTCTGTGAATGAAAAACCTCATACCTAACTCCAACACTATGTTCCGGCAAGATCAAATTTTATATATAGGAAAGCGCATAAAGTAATTGATAAAAATTAATATTTCTGTTTTATGTAATTTCTCTGTTTGATGAAAAAAATCTGTAAGATAAATCTTGTGGGGGAATCATTAGCCCTTCTCAGCTGTCAAGTTGTATTTCTTGACAGTGAAGGCCTGACTGCCTCTTAGCAGATATTTGTCTACCATGCTCAGGATTGGAAAGCTGGGGTGATTCCATGTGGGGGCCACTCTGTATGCCCCAGAGTTGACTTCACCTCTGGAAGCCCTTGTAAAAACTGGGCTCAAATTCCCTACTCCCTCCTAATATGCATTTCTAGTCTGCCTTCAGTCTGCAGATCAGGTTCCCATTTCTCAGCCTTGCTTCTCCCTATACCACTACCAGCACCACTACCCCATCCACATCTCCATTAAACTAGAGTCCTGACCCGCGATGACCCTTCCGTTATCTGGAAGTAATGACCTCCCCAATCCACCTGCTACATCCCCCTGTCCCTGGCCATTGCTTCCATTTACTCTTCACGACTTAAAGGAACTTCACTAAATTATGACACAAGAAAGTACAAACACACACACAGCCTCCAAACCTATTCCTTGCCATTCTCTTTTGGAAAACATTCTTTGGATGTTAATGTTGACAGAAATCAGATTAGAGTTGACCGAATTGCCTCAGATATGGTGACTTGGTGCATGTCACCAGAAGAGACCTTCTGCCTCTGTTCATTTTCCTTTGACCTACACCCCACCCCCTTCCTGTTTATTTGGAGTAGGGTCAGGCTGGTTGTTCAATGTCATACCCTGGATAGATTAATTTAAATCACAACATTGGCTACAGTTGAAGGGCAACTAATATTTACACCTACTCTGTACAAAACTCTGTATTAGGCTCTGTCAAGAGTCTCTCTTAATAGGTACTTATAGAACCTTTCAGTTTCTTATTATAAAATCAGGAGCTAATCAGGTATGCTTAGAGTATACTTAGGGTATAGGTGAGAAGCCGACAACCAATGCTGGTTCCAGGAATTGGGCAAGTGCATTAGACCAAGGCCATCTCCTATGGGATTGGCTACCATCAGACCACCTCGAAGAGTACAAAACACAAGTAAGGCTCTGGGAGAGTAAATCGAGATGGTTAGGGGTGATTTTTGACAGATAAGCAAGGCTTCCTTTCCTTCCCCACACTTCTTCCCCAGATATAAACCGTTGGGATAACTATTCTGTATAAAGGAGGTCCTCACTCTTCTAGGAGATGGATCTTGGTTGCACATTTTTTATCTTCAGAGGCCTTCCCTCTCCATTAACATCCAAAGATAACAATTAATGGTTGTTTTTCAGCTCCACTCAGGTTTCCCACCACAACCCCAGCAGGTTTAATTGCCTGGTGAGTGAGACATAGGTTAATACCCGTTTCTGGCCTGGCCCTGAAAGACTGTTTATGAAGCACATGTCGAGTCACTTGCAATTACTCGAGGGCCATGTCTAACAGCTGAAATTGGGAATACAAACTCTGGCCCTAAGAGGGAGATCCATGACCCAGCTGTCACACCATGGCAGTCAGAAAGACTGAGCAAGTGCCTCAGTTGTATTCAGTCTACAAACAATTCCCATCTTGCACCACTGTACACCTGCCTTGGATCCTCCTTTATGCTGCCTCTGCCCTGGTGCATTCCAGAAGCCGCCCACAGCCTTTGTGCTCTTCCTGGAAGTATCTTAACCAGTGACCCCAGGTCCTAAGAAGGAGGCATTCTTTGTAAAGCTGCCTTTGCTTCCCTAAGTAAGGATAAAGGAGAAATCTGGGCCTAGTAAAGAAACCAATATATCCTGGAAGCAGGCAGACCCTGGAGTTCCCAAATAATAAATGCTATTTGTTGACCATAATAATAGTCACAAAATGTTAGAATGTAGAGTAAACCGTGTCCATCCATGAGCACCAGAAAAAGTTCAGAGAGGGCACCTAGTCCCCTTTCCCACTTACATTACACAGCACCAAGGCTGATACTATCTTTACATATTTTTTAAATTATTAATGTCAGTATCCTTCCTTTTCATTTTATAACACCATCTTATCATTCCAATTATAAAGATAACATTGATCAGGAAACTTGCCAATGTTGTCCAGATGTTAAATTGATTCATACTACAGATTTTGGTGAAAAGTGCACTGTGTGCTAGATCTGGAGGACCCAACACACAGCAAGCCAGAGCACCTACCACATGCAGCCTGCCCTCAGAGTTTACCATCCGTCCCTGCTTGGTTCCAGGCTAAGTGATGAGCTTCCTAAATCATCTCTGTCCCCCTCTACAGGTGCAAAGAGCTCTAAGATGAACAGGCATGCATTCAACATATAACAGTTCCAAACAGAACCAAAACAGAACCCAAAACAGAAACAGAACCAAAACACAATCTCCTAATGTGGCAATTAATGATGCTCTAAAACTGTGTTGCATGAGCTCGCATAAAAATAAATGTTTATTTAATGAGCGAGTGGACTTTAGCTAAAATATTTTCAGTAGTGGTCCTTAAACTTTAGTGTATATAAGAACCTACTAAGTCAGGCTAACGGGGCATGGGCCCCAGAAACCTGCATATTTAATAAAGTCCCAGAGTGATTTCTGCAGGCTTTATTTTGAAAACCACTGATATGCAGCCCAATCCTGATCAGCTTTAGCATAGTTTTCCCTTTGGATGTCTGCGGTTTACATTGCTTAGAAATAAAGACAAAACCCTGGTAAGTTTCTACAGCCACTTTATGAATTGATTAATTGATTTGCTGGTGGGAAGAAAGTGGCTCTTAATCATGTGATTGTAAAGCACAGTGCTTTCTCAAACTGGAGTATGCCTACAATTTATCTGGAGATACTCTTAAAATGCAATTTTCTGATTTGGTAGATCTGGGGTGAAGCCTGAGAGTTTGCATTTCTAAGAAGCTTGCAGGGGACAGGGGACCAATACTGCCAGGCTGCAGATCACACCTTGAGGAGCAAGGACCTAGTACAACGTTCAATTCATTAAGGCTGCCTCATCTCACTTTGGCTTGTTTAATACCAGCCACATTTATTTTCTAAATAAAATTGTGAGCCTTAGCTGACTGGAGGTGTTCATTGCAACAGCTTTAATCTGTGCCTATCTCAAACATAATGTGAAAATTTTTTTTCTTGTGCTACAAACTTTTCTCATGAATATTCACATGATATTTTAAGCCTCTAAAATTTGAAGCTTTGAGAAGACACGGTGAACTTAACTGTGTAGCACTGATGTGTGTGGGGCGGGGGGTGTTGTTTGTTTTGTAAGGAGAAAGTTGATATATTTACCATAGTCCTCAGGACGGATACAGGCTCCAAATGTGTGGTCTGGGGGAATGTTCCTTGTTTCCGCAATGCTATCAAAGAAAACAAATCCTTTAGTTAAAATACCCACCACATGCCATCCCTGGAATTTAAAATGTTTGCCATATGTTTTTAATAGCCCATATTTTCTCCTATAACCAAACTATGAAGATCAAACAGAAGTTCTCACAGATCTTTTCTCTAATCTTCCACTTGCATTAGCAATGGCTGAATGCTCTCCCTGGCTTTCAGTAGCCCGGATTTAAAAAGAAAAACACAGGACATATTCAAAGCAGATTTATGGGAGTATAGAGAAAAAGACAGCCAGAGATGGGGAAGAGAGAGAAAAATGTAACACAAGTTAAATTTCTGAAACCCCAGAAATAAAGCTTTGCACAAAATATAACCAGAGACATTGAAATTAAGGACAATCTGACAGTAACCAGAGGGGAGGTGGGAGGACATAATGGGGGGAAGAAGGGATGGGTTTTCAAGAACAACTATAAAGGACACATGGACAAAAAAGCAAGGAGGGGGGTGGAATCAGGGGAGGGAGGTGGGGATGGTTGGGGTGGGGGGGGGAGTAGTGAGGGGAGAATGCAGACGACTATAATTGAACAACAATACAATAATTTTTTTAAAAAACCCTCCCTCCCTCTTCTCCAAACGCCGTCTCCATCTCAGAGGAATCAGCACTTCCCTGGAGTCCCCAAATCTAAAGAAGCTGCTAGAGTTCCCTGACAGACACAAAAGTGTGGCTTTCTTTTTTTTTCAATAATTTTTTAAATTTTATTTAAATTGTTGTTGCGGTACAATTTTCTATCTTTTACTCCCATCCCTACCCACCCCCCAACCCTCCCCTCCTCCTTCCCATTTCTACCCGCCCCTAGTTTTTATCCATGCGTCCTTATACTCGTTCCTGTAAACCCTTCCCCTTTTCCCCTGAAAATTCTTCTCCTCGCCCCTCTGAACTCTGTCAGTCTGTTCTTTATTTCAGTGTCTTTGGTTGTATTTTTCTTGTTCCTTTGTTTTGTTCTTTAGGTTCCTGTCAAAGGTGAGATCATATGTTATTTGTCTTTTACTGCCTGGCTTATTTCACTTAGCATAATACTTTCCAGTTGCATCTATGCTTTTGCAAAGGGTAGGAGCTCCTTCTTTCTTTCTGCTGCATAGAATTCCATTGTGTAAATGTACCATAGTTTTTTGATCCATTCATTTACTGATGGGTGGCTTTCTTATTTAATGGGTAGGAACTAATAAAACACAAACCAACATTTACTTCAAGAGTACTTTTTAAATTCCACCCACAGACACTGTCAATTCAAAGTTAATCGTTAACTTACGGATCTAAAACTTTTCCAAGCTTATGTTGAAACTTTTCTTTGAAATCATCAACTCTCTTGGATACAATCTTAGCTCCTCTTTTCCTAGAAAATTAGAAAATTGTCAGGTATCTCCACTACCTAAAGTATCCTTGGCTGCCAAATATACACACGGTAGGAAAAATACAATATAATTTGGGCCATCAAAAAAATAAATCCAGTTTCAAAACAAATTATATGCTAAAAAGAAAGCTCTGTGCTCATCCTTCTATCATTCTTATATTCTATTGTAACAGTAAGTTTATAATAGAATATATATTTTTTATAAAAGAATAAGATAAGCAAACTAAAAAATTTTTCAGTAAACAAAACCAAATTGTTAATATTACAATGTTATTATAAATGTAACTCTTGAAATTGCTAAAAGAAATGTAAGCATTGATTAAATAAATAAATAAATAACAGATAGAAACAAAAAAACATCTAGTAAGCAAATATATGGAGAAATTATAATACTGTCTAGTAATAAAAGAAATGTAAAATAAAGTGATACTTTTTATGTACTATAGTACATAAGCATATATATATAGAGAGAGAGAGAAAGAAAAATATCTAAATAGGCAAAAAGTATAGCAAAACATTTGTAGATTATTACTTTATAATTCTTTTGGAAATAATTTAGTAATATGATTCAAAAAACATAAAAATGTTCATTCTCTTTTATACATATCTGGGAACAAATCATAAGAAGGTAATCCACATAAAAATTGAAAATGTGGAAAAGTTATATTTATAAAAATGTAGCATCATTGGCTATAATGGAAAACAGAAAAGAATCTAAATGTTCGATCATGAAGGATAGTTATATTATGTCATATTAACAAGAATACACAGCCTGTAATTTAAATGTTGTTTATGAAGCATACACAGCAATATAACATTATTTAATGTTAAGTGGAAAAGGATATAAAATGGAATTGCACTCAAATTTAACCTATGCAAAAATCTATACAGGAAGCCACACTAGAAACAAATACATTAAAAAGATAATAATGGTTGAATTAAAATGACAGGATTACTAGTGATTTTATTTTGCCAATTTTCTGTAATATCATTTTGTTTCTTCATTGTGATTAAATGAATAAGATTTCTTTGAGAACTGTAAAATTATAACACTACTATCTAATAACATTAAAATTAATAAGTTCTATGTTGTTTTGCTAAGATGAAAACAATGAACACAAAATTCTTAAAGTTCATTTTCTTTTAAAACTATTTCCTGTGCTATAGAAGTATGGAGCTGAATAAATTTCTGGGGAAGAGTGACACTCTGTGGAGAAACAAAAAATGAACTATAAAGTGAGTCACCTCTTACTTCTTCATTTACATTTCATTAGTTCACAAAGGAAAGAAAGAAAAGAATACGGGTAAAGTCAGAATGATTTGAACAAATGAAGTTGATAATCTAAAAACCAGCTCCACCCTGGCTGTTGTGGCTCAGTGAATTTAAAAACCAGCTCCAAGAGACATAATTAGGAACATGGAAGAATGATAAAGATTAGGACCTGAATCACGGAGTCTACCCTTTTCAAGGTTAAGTTTGTGGGAGAATCAGGAAGTATCTGTGAGTAGCCACGCATGTCAGAATATCAATCACTGTAACATCATTACACAACCTCATGTCATTTACTAACCAACTCAGAATAAAGTCCTTTGTGTGCCCATGAGTTTTTTTCATCCAGAAACACACACATACACACAACCCTATTGTTTGAAGATCCTAACTGATTCTTCAAACAAAAAGTCATAAACAGAATATAAATAGAGGTAGTTTTACAGAGGAAATGTATCTCTTAAAAGTTCAGAGTAAACCAAATTTATGTTAAAATAGTTCATATAAAACTCAGAAGCCTTAAAATGTAAACAAACATGCCTCACTCCAAGTTTATAATAGAAACCATACTGAAAAATAAAGTAGTGAGTTCTTTTTTAAAATCCAATAAAATGAAAGAATAAATACTATTATTTTAGCAATAAGTTTCCAATTAAGTCTCAAAATTCAAAAAGTAAGAACAAATAAAACATTGTTCCATAAACAATGTGTCTTTGGGGGTAGAAACAAGTTGGAAAGAAATGTACCGTGCATATTGCCTCCTTTTATAAATCAAGTGTGTTTTTATCCAGATGTAATTAACATAGAGCATTATACTAATTTTTGGAGTACTCAGTGTATTTATCTATGACTATGCAAAATCAGTGATAAACATGTCCTTATCAATAATCCAAAAGGCTCTGCTTAGGACATTGTTAGGGACTACATTGTTGTTAATGTGTTTATTTCATATCTTTTATAAATTGATACATTTGGATTTCTAAGCTTTCATAACTGAATAAACCATATTTGTCATCTCCCTTTGAGTATTAATTTCTGTATTATATTTAACTATGAATATAATCCTTAACTATTTAAATCAATTTTTCTTGTTTTCCTTTATATATAGTTTAACCACTTTAATAATGATAAATTAATGAATATTATATAAGATTTTCTCTTATACCCAAAAGAAAACTATTTCATATGGGTTTATTATGATATTGTAAACTTCATTTTGTGTTTGTGTTTTAGCATTGTTGTTGTGAATAATTCAAGTATCAGAAACTCATATAATTAGGGAGTGGGAATGGAACAGAAATCATTGTTTCCAGTCTATGATCACAGAATCAAGTGCCTGTAAACCTGATGTGGTGGTTAAGGGCAGCCCTTGGAGCCACACTGCCTGGGTTTCATTCCTACCCCTAGTACTTCCTACCTACATGCTCTTGGGAAAATGATTTCATTTCTCTGTATGTCAGTTTCTTCATCTGTAAAATAAGTAAAATAAAAATTATAGTACACCCACCCCATGGAGTGGTCGGTAGGATTAAATGAATAATAAATACTTAGCACTTTGCCTTGATAACTGGGAGCTGTTGTTTTCAGAGACCAGATGGGCAGGCTGCGTCCCAAGCTGTGGGAATGCGACTTTGTGTTCACACTGGAGCCTGGAAACCTAGAGGGCCGGTGTCTCCCTTAAAGAGGGCAGCAGGCAAAACAAATCCACTCCCACCCTGATGTGTAGTAGAAGTATAGGCCCAACATATTAGTTTCCTGTGGTTACTGTAAAAAATTTTACCACAAATTGGTGGCTTTAAGCAACAGAAATGCATCCTCTCACAGTTCTGAAAGCCAGAAGCCTGAAATCAAGGTCTCAGCATGACTGCATTCCCACCAAAAGTTCTAGGGGAGAATCTGTTCATTGCTTCTTCCCACACGAGGGCTGCTGGCGTTCTTTGGCTCTTTGTTACGTGAGGCCACATCACTCCAGTCTTCCTCCTCCACCTTCACTTCACCTTCTCCTCTGTGTGTCTTCTCTTCTGTCTCAGATCTCCCTCTGCCTTTCCTTTATAGGGACACTTGTCATTGGGCTCAAGGCCCATCCAGACAAGTCCAAAATGATGTCTTCATCTTAAGATCCTTAATTGAATTACATCTACAATGACTTTTTTCCCACAGAAGGTAACATTCAGAGGTTCTGGGAATTATCTGGACATATTTTTTCAACCTATTAGACCAGTATTCCCAATCTTCTGACTTTATAAACATAGTAAGAAATATGGATTTTATGAGCAATCTCCCATTGTTTAATCTCCCACTGTTTAACTGCTTGTTTAGGTATAAAATATAACACAGGTAATGAAAAACCAAGAAAGCTTATTTTTGTTTTCTAGGGAAGTCATCATATATAGAACGAAGGCATAAAAAGATCACAGCTTACAAGAGTTAATCAGATGCTCAGGTGCCCAAATAACTATTAAACAAAACTGAATGATAAGTGATGGGCCAATTATACCTGACATAATTGTCTTTGTAGACTTTGGAAAGGCCATTGTCTCTAAGAAACATCAATAGGGTTGATCCCATAGATTAAAAACATGAGTACGTGTCTTTATATTTGCTTGTAAAGGCAAAAAGTAACTTTAAAATGATACATATGCACACGCACACACACACACACACAAAGTGTCATGATTATCCCTGGGGGGACTGGACAGTTTGGAAGATAACATACTGTACGTCTTTCTACTAATCTTATGTTTGAAACATGTCACCTAATTACCTCTTCAAAAAATAAATTTTTTTTAGTCCATATGTCATGTATCTAACACTTGTGCCAGAATCTAGTATCATTAAACTTACATTTGTAGTTCATGCAGCCAATATGTAGTTTTTGCCATGGTGCGGCCGTCACTACAATGTGGTGTTGGGACCCCATACAGGTTAAACCTATGGAAACTGGATGGGTTATACTTTCGGTTCTTTGCTTCTCCTGTGGAAAGAAAGGGGAGATGCCTGACTTACGAGACAAAGATAACCTTGCCTTGAAGGAAGCACAGTATGTTCTCATTGACACTGAAAATGAGAGTAGAACAAAGAATGAAACTGTAACAGTGCAGAGACCTGCACACATTGGCTACAGAGGATAGAAGCATTCTCTCATGAGAAGCGGGACACTGGTGGGATTGGAGTTCATTGTGTTACTGTTTGGAAAGTAAGTAGGGAAGTGACGTAGGAGAAAGTCATATTAATGATGAGAAATGCAGGCCCAAAATTAACATTGCACAAATCCTGAAGGTCAGGGAGGTACAGCTTTAGGATGCAGCAGTCCTTTCTACTATGCTGGGATCTGAGAGGTAGGTGTTTTGTAATTGCTTTCACTGAGATTTGGTGACATCATCAGGATACTGCAACCCCCATATTTCCTGTGAAATAAATAAGTCACGTGATTTTAATGAAATAACTCATGTAGGGTGATTGAGAGTTCAGAACCCAACAGGGAAGTCTTTGTATTTAAGACCTAATACCGCAGTTTCTTTTCAAGTTGCAAATGGCCAATAGTTTTCTATTTCTAGATAAGAAAGTGAGACTGAAACCAAAGATCAGATCAAAGGTTAAGATATAATGGAGAGAAGATATTCAGCCTCACCAGTCACCCAAATAATGTAAATAAAAGCAATCATGTGAAATCATAATTTGTCTCTCAGTGAAGTACCAAAAAAGAAGATTAGCAAACTCACTATAGGAGTTGTGGAAAGTGAAAACTGTCATACTCTGTGGGTATGAAGGTAAATTGGGGGAGCTATTCAGGTGGTCAGTTAGGTCCTAAGAGGGAGATTTTAAAATGCTCAGAAATATAGGAATTTACCCTAAGGAAATAGATAATATTCACGAAGATATATAAACAACATTTTTTTTACTACTGAAAATACCACACTGATGCAGACATGAAAAGACAACCAAGACATTTCATACAATGGGGGTGTGGGAACAAACAGAAAAAGAAGTGTGCACAGTGGGGAGCAAAACACAAACACACATGAATGAACAAAGAAAAACATCTATGACAGTTTCATCTACGGAAAATTGGGAACTGTGGGAGACATGCATTATATTTTATATATTTCTCTGTAGCTTGCATTTTTAAGTATATTTTATTGATTATGCTATTATATTAGTCCCAATTTTTTCTCCCCTGCCCCCCTTTGCCCCGTATCCCCCTTCTCTCCAGCAGTCCCCTACTTAGTTCGTGTCCATGGGTCACACATATGAGTTCTTTGGCTTCACTATTTCCTATACTGTTCTTAACCTCCCCCTGTCTATTTTGTAGCTACCAATTATGCTTCTTAATCCCTGTACCTTTTCCCCCATTCTCCCCCTCCCCCTCCCCACTGATAATCTTCCATGTGATCTCCATTTCTGTGATTCTGTTCCTGTTCTAGTTGTTTGCTTAGTTTGTTTTTGGTTTTGCTTTTGCTTTTTAGATTCAGTTGTTGTTAGTTGTGAGTTTGTTGTCATGCTAATGTTCATAGTTTTGATCTTCTTCTATTACTTAAATAAGTCCCTTTAACATTTCATATAATAAGGGTTTGTTGATGATGAACTCTTTTTGCTTTATCTTGTCTGGGAAGCACTTTATCTGCCCTTCAACTAAATGATAGCTTTGCTGGATAGAGTAATCTTGGTTGTAGGTCTTTGCTTTTCATCACTTTGAATACTTCTTGCCAGTCCCTTCTGGCCTTCAAAGTTTCTTTTAAGAAATCAGCTGATAGTCTTATGGGAACTCCTTTGTAGGTAACTCTTGTTTTTCTCTTGCTGCTTGTAAGATTTTATCTTTATCTTTAATCTTTGGCAATTTAATTACGATGTGTCTGTGTCTTGGTGTTGTCCTCTTTGGGTCCAACTTGTTTGGGACTCTCTTTGCTTCCTCGACCTGTATGTCTAAGTCCTTCCCCAAATTAGGGAAGTTTTCTTTCATTATTGTTTAAAGAAGTTTTCAATTTCTTGCTTTCTCTTCTTCTGGCATCACTATGATTTGGATGTTGGCACATTTGGAGATGTCCCAGAGTCTTCTTATTCTCTTCTCATTTTTTTGAATTCTCGTTTCTTCATTCTGTTCTGGTTGACTGTTTATTTCTATCTTTTGTTCCAATTCATTGATTTGAACCCTGGGTTCCTTCCCTTCACTGTTGGTTTCCTATGGATGTTTCCTTTTTTAAAAAAGGAAACCTTTCATTTATTCATTTTTAGAGAGAGGGCGGAGAGAGGAAGACAAACATCAATGTGTGGTTGCCTCTCATGTGCCCGCTACTGGAAACCTGGCCTAAAACCCAGGCATGTGCCCTGACTGGGAATTGAAACAGCAACCCTTTGGTTTACAGCCTACACTCAATCCACTGAGCTATACCAGCCAAAGTTCTGTGGATTTTTCTTTATTTCACTTAGTGTAGCCTTCATTTCTTCCCTTATACTTTTGCCATACTCAGTGAGATCTCTAAGCATCCTTATCACCAGTGTTTTAAACTCTGCGTCTCATAGATTGACTATCTCCATTTTGCTTAGTTCTTTCACTGGGGTTTTGTTCTGTTCTTTCATTTAAGCCATATTTCTTTGTCTCCTCAATTTGGCAGCCTCCCTTTGTTTCTGTGTATTAGGTAAATCTGCGTTGACTCCCTGTCTTGGCACACCTGTTACCTTGTATGGGCCTTAGGTAATCACCAGGGTGGGGCAGCCTGCTTCAGCACTTTGTGGCTTCGTATGTAGGGGAGTGGTCAGAGAGGGAACGATGCCACTGCCTGATTGCTGGAAGCTTGTTCAGCACTCTCCCCACTTCCAGTCACTTAAGCAACTAGCGCCCCTCTAGCTATTGCCCTGGTGGTGATTTCCAGAGTGGGTGGGTTTGTGTACATTCTAGGACCTTGCAGGCCCTTTAAACAGTTTCTCCTGAGAGACCTGCAGTTTCTGCTACAGACCCAAACCTCACTGGTTTTTTCAGCCAGAAGTTATGAGACTTTATTTTCCCAGCACTGGAACCCTGGGCACTATGGTCAGGCCTGTGGCTCCCTCCCCAGGTATCCTTGGGGTCCATCTCCCCAGGGATGGCCCCTTATGTGGGACCATCTGTTCTGCTGGCCACTGTCACTGCCACCACTACACTATGTCCTCTCCTCCCCATCTCCCTGTCTCTGCCCATCCTACCCATCTGGATGAATATGTCTTCCTTAAATCCTTGATCATCTGACTTCCATACAGTTCAATTTTCTGTCAGTTCTGGGTATTTTTTGGTTTGAAGTTAAATGTAATCCTATTGTGCAAGGAGGCAAAGCATGTCTGCCTATGCCTCTGTCTTGACCAGAAGTATATAGCTTGCATTTTATAAAGTAAATACCGATTACTTTCATAATTCTTTAAATTAAGTGCATTTAAAAGAGGTTATAAATGCATAAAAACAGACATATAGATCAATGGAACAGAATAGAGAGCCCAGAAATAAGCCTATACCTTTGTAATCAATTAATATTCAATGGAGGAAGCAAGCACATACAATGGGTTAAAGATAATTTCCTCAATAAATGGTGTTGGGAAAATTGGACAGATACGTGCAGAAAAATGAAACTAGACCACCTTCTTATGCCACACATAAGAGTAAAGTCAAAGTGGATTAAAGACTTAAATGTTAGACCCCAAAACCACGAAATTTCTAGAAGAAAACACAGGCAGTAAAATCTCAGACATTGCTCATACCAATATATCTTGTTGATAGATCTCCTCAGACAAGGGAAACAAAAAAATAAACGAGTGGGACATCAAACTAAAAAGGTTTTGCACAGCAAAGGAAACCATCAACAAAATTAAAAGACAATCCACTGTATGAGAGAACATATTCGCCAATAAATCTGATAAGGGGATAATATCCAAAATTCATAAAGAACTCAAAAACTCAATATCAAAAAAAATACGATACAATTAAAAATGGACAAAATGCCCTGGCTGGTGTGGCTCAGTGTATTGAATGCTGGCCTGTGAACCAAAAGGTTGATAGTTTCATTCCCAGTCAGGGCACGCTCCTGGGTTGTAGGTCAGGTCCCTGGTTGCAGGTGTGTGACAGGCAACCGCACACTGATGTTTCTCCCCCTCTCTTTTCCCCTTCCTTGCCCTCTCTCTAAAAAATAAATAAATAATTTTTTAAAAAATAGGCAAAGGACCTAAATAGAAACTTCTGAAATAAGACATACCGATGGCCAATAGACATGTGCAAAGATGCTCAACATCACTAGTCATCAGAGAAATGCAAATTAAAACAACAACAAGGTATCACCTCACACCGGACAGAATGGCTATCATAAATAAAGCAACAAACAAGTGCTGGCAAGGATGTGAAGAAAGGGGAACCCTTTTGCACTGTTGGTGGGACTGCAGGCTGGTGCAGCCACTGTGGAAAGCAGTGTAGAGATGCCTCAGAAAATTAAAAATGGGACTGCCTTATGGCCCAGCAATTCCAGTGCTGGGAATTTATCTGAAGAAACCTGAAACATTAATTTGAAAGAACATAAGCACCCCTATGTTCATTGCAGCATTATTTTCAATCTCCAAGATACGGAAGCAGCCCAAGTGTCCATCAACAGATGAGTGGATAAAACAACTATGGGACATTTACACAACGGAATACTACTCTGCTCTAAAAAAGAAGAAAATTTTACCCTTGTGACAGCATGGATGAACCTGGAAAACATTATGCTAAGTGAAATAAGTCAGTCAAAGAAAAATGCCATATGATTTCACTCATATGTGGAGTCTAATGAACAAACTGAAAAAGCAAAATAGAGATGGACTAATAGATAGAAAGTAGGCTGACTGCTCTGCTGCCGGGGGGTTGCAGGGGAGGTTAGGGAGTAGAGGGATCGGTCAAAAAGGAGAAGGGACTCATGGACAAGGACAACAGTATGGTGATTGCAGTGGGGAAGGGGGAAGGGAGATAAATGGTAATGAGAAATAAAATAAGTAATTTTTTAAGACAGGTTATAGATATATATTTACTGTTATTGAATACTGTCACTGACATATTATTTTAAGTTAAGAAAATTTTAATGTATATAGCAGTTTCCCCCAAATTATGGAGAATATGATCACATTTAACTAAAGATAGATCAGTGGATGCTGGGTTAGAGAGATGTTTAATATATCTCTGATGAAGGTCATTTCAAGGTCACATTTACTTTTTACTCATTTTTTAACATTAAAACTCTGCACAATATTATGTATCTTTATAATAAAAATTAAGTATTCTCATTATGAGAAAAATAAGGATAATATTTAAAAGATTGGATTTTACGACTTTTCAAGTGGCTAACAAAACTTCTGTAAAAATCAGCACATGAAGTTAATTCCAGTCATGTTTCAGTCCATTAAAGCTCTTCAAAATATTGTTTTAAAATTGGCAGTCACCTCCATTTGCTAGGTGTACATAAGATCTCTCACTGTAGGTTATCTACATATATTCATCATATAGTTCTTTTTAAAACAACTAAAAGGCATTGGATTAGATTGTGCGACAGATGCTAAACTTTTTCCAAAAAATGAATGAAACATTTTCACAAGAGAGGGTGGGAGGGAAGGGGAATAAAAGGAAGGGAGGACTAGAGGACAGAAATGAAGAAAGGGAGGGAGAGTCAGAAAGCGAAGGGGGTGGAGATACGGACAGAAGTCAAGGCTGTGAGAAGGCACGTGGTAACCAAGTGGGCGGAAGCAGTGGCAGTCTGTCTGGGAGGGTAGAGACAATCTCAGGACTGAGATCATTAGAGAGTGTAGGGAACCAGCAGAGACTGGTCGTGAAAGAAGAGAATGGCAGGTTCCAGACAGTGAAACAGTGGGTATAGGAGACAAGTCCTAGCTATGAGCAAAAGTTCAGAAGGAAGAACAGAGAGAGGGAGTTGGGTGTGAGATGGTGGTGGAGGAAGAAAAGTGAGGAAATAAAGAAGGTTTCTGGCTGGTGTGGCTCAGCTGGCTGGGCATCGTCCCACAAAGTGCAAGGTCACCAATTCAGTACCCAGTCAGTGCATGTGCTGGGGCTGCGGGCGAATGTTTCCCTCCCTCTCTCTCCTTCCCTTCCCCTTTCTCTAAAAATAAATAAATAAAATCTTAAAGTAAAATATAAAATATTAAAAGAAAAAGAAATAAAGAAGGAGCAAAGGAGAGAGCTGCCTTAAGTTGCAGTCAAGGAAGAGTTGCTTCTAGCTAATGGAGGTTGAGTTTATGAATCATTCATAATTCAGCAACTTTCCAAGGACATGTATCAGAGTCTAATTCTCAGTCCTCTATTATATCACAATTCTACTTGACATCAACACATCAACGATTAAGTTGCATTTTACAGCACTATAAACATCTAGTGCCTTTTAGCTGTGCTTTAGAATAATTCTAGTAATTGGCTACTATTAATCAAGATGACTTAGTGCTACTATTAATAGTTATTGAGCCCTTACCATATTCCAGGCACTATGCTAAGCATTTTGCAAGCACTCACTACATCCTCACAATATTATTATCCAATTTAAGAGACTAGAATAGATGGTAATGGAATAAGTAAAATATCCAGGATCTAAAAGATGAGCTAGAATTTGAACCTGATATATCTGATTCAAAATTTGTTCACTTCACCACTACCCAATCAATATTCCTCATACAAAGCTAAGCACTTAGAATAATTCTAACATTTGAAAAAGAACAGTATTTTAAAGCCTAAAACCACTAAAACAAAATAACTCTATCTCACATTTAATCTCTCTTACCTGTTTGTTCATTTTCATAATAGATATATTTCTACATTTTATATACAAAGTATGTGAGGGTATGTGTTCCCAGCTACCAAGGTTTAGGACCTTATAAGAAATTGCTATTATTTATTGATCACCCATTATACACCAGGCACTTAACTTTATGCACATTGTTTCTTTTATCCCTCTTCACAAATCCGAAAGTCCCATATCCTCGGGCTGATTTTATACTGGAGGACACTTACCCACGTAATAGTCGTTGTGAGAAACAACATACAGGTCGTGTCCTTCCTGTCCTTCTTTAAATACTTGTTCATAGGATTTTGGTGGGTTCACCACAATGCTAGCAGGTATTTCTGAAGAAAGAATTAAATGCATCAGTTTTAAGGGATTTTTCATCTATTTATATTTAAATTAACTAGAACAAATGACAATCAAGCTGATAGCATAAGCTACATAGCCACCCTAGAAGAACACAAAGGCATATAAATGACGATTTATCAAGATAGACAGGACATAGCATAGATGTTACTATTCTAGGGACCCTCATTTGACGTGGCTCACTACCTAGAATTCTGAAGATCAGAACTCTGGATCAGTTAACCATTTAGGTTGTCCTGAGCCATATTCCAAGCCTGGTTAAATTCCCAATTCTGAGAATCTCTAGACAATTTTTATTTCAGGTTGTTCCAGATTTCTCACCATGATCTAAGCAAATTTGAATTACAAATCAGTCTCAGAAATTCTGATGTCCTGTGGGGTAACTTGGTGCAAATTTCCACAGCTGTAGACTGGAGCACACACCCTGAGTTTGTTTTGATCTGAATATCCATCTTCGAAGTAGCCAAAAGTACCAAGGAAATCACTGGATCAGAGCTACAACACGTGTGTTTAGCAGATATTTTCCCAGGTTGGCCCCCAGTCTCCTATACAGTAAATTATTTTGTTTTCACTGTTCTACATGATGATTTTTAAATATAATTCCACTTATAATTCCACTCTTCTCTTTCAACCTAAAAACATAGATGAATAATAACAATATACAATAACACTATAAAATAATAATAATTGATATATAATTATATTAACTAAATATATAATTTTATTTATTATATATTAAGCATATAATTATTATTATATTATAATTATAAAACATAATTCCATTTATAATTTCATTCTTCCCTTTCAACTTAACAACTTATTTTCCTTCTTTTGGACATTTGCCAAATACTGAGGTCTGTAAACAGTTAAGAATAACAGAAGGTGGTCCTACTCAAAATAATCCTGTAAAATCCCGTAAAGCAGTACTTCATTCTGATCGATGAACCACTATACTTATAAATACATATATACACATTTTGGAGCATTCTTTCTATTATATATTTCAATGAAGTGCACCTAGATAGCACTTTCCTTATTACATGAACTAATCATAGACACACTTATGATATTCATTACTATAATGCTGTAATGCCATGTCTACATAAATACAATTTATAATCCTATTTAAGAGAAATAAAAAGATTTTTTATCTGTCCTAAAACATATTTTCCATGTTTCCATTTTTAATTTAAGAGCTGATACAATGCAGTACTACTGCAGACATTGCATTCCAAGAGACGGGCATAATCTGTCTCCAGGGTGGATGTTACTGTGTTAAGGAAAATGATCTAATAGACTTTTTGGTGAAAAACGTCCTGGAACAGAGACTTAATGGGTGCAGAAAGACAAAGAGAACCAAATTTCTCTGCAAGATAAAGATAGAATTAGAATTTGAGTTCTCTTGTAAGGCCCTGGAGACGGGGTAGAAACCTGAAAAGGGCAGTAGAAGATAAATGTGAGAAACGTGTAAAGAAAGGCGCCCGATGACATGGCTGGAGGCTAGACTTCAGAAGAGATAATGGCCTGTGACCAATTAAATTATACGTCGTTGTTTGTTGAATGATGTGCTCTACTCCCTCACAAAATGAGAGTGCAAGTCTGCTCTGTGCACTGCCTACATTTGGCTAACATGCAGGTAGACTCTGTGGATCAGCACAAGGGAAAGGAGGTGTCTCATGTGCCAAATTTATTTGTTCCACGGTCTACTTTATGAAAGAGCTTCATAAAAAGTTAAGAGTTGGGTACTCACATTTTCCTACAACCACATGAAAAAAAAAGAGCTAAAAGTTGTGAATACACCAGGGACACTGGTGGAAATAAAACCCAGGGAGAAGGATGTCGAGGGAGAAGAAATTGCAGCCTTCACAGCTGGTCCCAGAGTCAACTTTCCTGACTCTCTTTCCTGTCTTTATGTCATTTCTACTCTGCTCACCGAATCTCCACTCCAAAGCTTGAATTTTTACCTCCTGGCACACATAAACTTTAAGGATTCTGGGTCTAAGAGTAACTTTGTCACTATGATCTCGTCTTTCACTCTTCAGTCATCATTGGCACCATCACCAAACACCACTCCAATGGAATATTTAATCCAATCTTCTATGAAATATTTTACCATCCCTCCTATTCCCTTATTTTTTTTTTACTACCTCTGATGACTGTCGTCCCAAATGTCGTATTGAGTACATCCAGGCCTTTCGGTAATCCTGGCGATTGATCATGAGATTTTCCTAATGGTGCTCGTTGATTACTAAAATATATTGATTCCTTTTTATCTTTAATTTTCTGTTGAAATGTTGTAATAGGCTCTGGGTTTATCAATACCTTTGCCTAAAGAAATCATACAAAGCACTGATGTAAGAACAAAAAGAAGTAAAAATCTGAAAGCTAGAGAGAAGAAAATATGAGTGCAGAAAAATAAGTCCTCATCATCGCTTTGCTCTTTCAAAAAACCATCCCAGTTGGGGCTATGAAGGTTAAACATGCCTAAACACGAACTTTCAAAGGGGTTAAAGGTTTTATGGGGTTAAAAGATTTATGAGAGGAGTTCCCAGGTACTTGACTTCAATATCCCAGAAACATGGGAATGGCCCTTGCTGGTGTGGCTCAGTGGACTGAGTGGCACCCTGTGAATCAAACGGTCTCTGGTTCAATTCCAGTAAGGGCTTATGCCTGGGTTGTAGGCCAGGTCTCCAGTTGGGGGCCTGTAATAAGCAACGAACTGATGTTTCTCTCCCTCTCTTATTCCCTCCTCTCCCCTCATCCTAAATATAAATAATTTTTTTAATTTTTTTTAAAAAGTGGGAATGACAAGCGGAAGAACCACATGACTTCCACAAGCTTTCTTCTGAATCTAGACTGTCTATTCAATGAACGGCAAATAAATTCAGGCCCCATCTCCACTTATTCAATGTATAATGTGTCTAAGCATTCTGGCACTTCCGGATTTTTTTTCAAACTATAAAAATAAGTTTATTTAGAAAGTCACTGAAGTACAAGTGAGCTGTAGAAGAAATGAGATCAGGAAACAAGTTAAAAAGGCAAAAGGAGGGCCCTTGGAGCTTATGAGAGAGAAAGGTAAAGGTAATACTAGGGAGAAGAAGAAGGAAAAAGAGAGACACAACTTTTTTTTTTAAGTGCTCAAGATTAAGTGTGAAAAGGAGATTGGGATGGTGATTTCACTAATTCCTCGCTTTTGCATTTTTATCTTGGTAAGTTAGTAGTAATATACATGGAAAAAAAGAAAAAAGGTACCGATACTGAAGTTTTAGAACTTATTCCATGTGTCAAATAAGGTGCAATTGGAGGATCATTTGCTCTTCCATAAAATACTCTCTCAGCTCCAGCAGGCGGATATCTGAAGTTGAAAAATTTTTTTGCCTCAGGAGGAGTGATTGGCTACAAACAGTAAGACAAGAAAACAGAATTAAGTACAGTTTTTAAAATATTAGGAATGATTTATTCTGGCGATTTTCAACTGCTGTACTATAAGAATTTTTAAAGCATGCAATACCTGACTATTTAGTCAGGGGCACTGACCTGTTTTTCCTTAGATTGTCAAATTAAAAAATGACAACAGACAACACAACTATAGCCATCCGACATGAATGAACCAAAATTATACCTATTTTGTCAGATTGGCAAAAAATATATGTACTTTGTGGTATGCCGCAGAATTTTAGTAATTAGTTTATGTGTGCCATGAGATGAAAAAGGTTGAAGTTGCTGATCTATAACATTCAATGAACACTTTATTGCATGTGTATAGCAAACACATGGAGACCTATGCCTCCAAATAATGAAATTTTCTGAAATTTGTTTTTTTATGGAAATAAACAATTTATTTTAAAAAGTTATATTTAGCCCTGGCTGGTGTAGTTCAGTGGATTGAGTGCTGGCCTGCAAACTGAAAAGTTGCTGGTTTGATTCCCATTCAGGGCTCATGCCTGGCTTGTGGGCCAGGTCCCCATTTGTGGGCATGTGAGAGGCAACCAGTGGATGTTTCTCTCACACATTGATGTTTCCCTCCCTCTCTTTCTCCCTCCTTCTCTCTCTAAAAATCATAGGAAATCATAGAACTGAAATTTTCACTTCCTTGAACAAAATTAACAAAAGGCCTCCAAATACACTGAAGAACCCTGGCTGGTGTGGCTCAGTGGAGTGCTTGAGTGCTGGTTTATAAACCAAAAGGTCCCAGTCGGGGCATGTGCCTTGGTTGCAGGCCAGGTCCCCAGTTAGGGCCAGGGTAGAGACAACTGATTGATGTATCTCTTGTACATCAATGTTTCTCTCCCTCTCTTTCTCCCTCCCTTTCCCTCTCTAAAAATAAATAAATAAAATCTTTAAAAAAATACAATAAAGAATACAAATCCACATCTAATAGATCACATTTGAACCACTTTCATAAGGAATGTAGACAGCTGTCTATCTTCTAATGTTCACATGCAAGGCAAAAATATAAACACAAATGCATGTTAAAAATGCTCACCCTGGGAAGTTTTTCAGTCAAGCAGGTTGCAACTCGGTCTCCAATCGGAATAATTTTCCCTGCCTAAGTGGGGAAAAACCATAGTTGATCAGGGGGGTAGGGTAAGGGAGGGGAGTTTGTAGGGAACATTTTGAAGAATGAAATTTATTTCAAATTTGGCCTATACTTCTGATGCTACAAAAGTTACTTTCAGCTATTTAACATAATTAAGGGAAAAAGTAAGAACCAATTGCAAACCTAAAGCAATCTTGATATATAATACAAACATTAAATGTTAAATGTATATATATAAGCATGTTTTTATAGTGCTAGCATTGTAATCCAACTGTAGGAGCTCTGTGAAAAGCTGAGGGATTCAGCTTTCAGAAATAACCTTGTTCGACTTCCTATCAGTACAATGGGAACAGGGCTGCATTCAAGCTAAACTCAAGATAAAATGTTATGTAATTCTGACTATGTGTGGGTGTGTTTGTGCGTGGGTATATTTCCACCAACATCAGAACTTTTGACAAGTGAAAACCTGTCACTCATGGCCCAATGAATGTCCTTTGTTTATTTAATTCTAACTTGGATCTTATCTGTCCTTCTTTGCCCAAGGCCAAAATTATAACTGTTCATTCCCAGAAATGCACTTCTTATCTATTTCCCTTTTATCATTTCCAGGCAGATGGGAGTCTTCAATCTCAGCTGGTTGCTCTTTAGGTCTGGTGCAGAGGTCTTTCCTGGGAATGTTTCCTCCGTCATTCTTTCGAGCTAGGTTGCCCATTGCTCCCATCTATGCCTCCTTTTGGGTTTATTCCCCATTTCACTGAAGAAAACTCTTTAATCATTTCCTAAGAAAGAATGCATAAAAAGCCAATATTTGATTCCTTATATCCTTGAAAGTGTTTTAATTCTAGTCTTACATATGATTAATAATTTAGCTAGGCATAGAATTCAAGGGAGCAAATAATTTTCTCTCTGAATTTTGATGGCTTTATGTCAACATCCTTTAAAAGATGGCCTTGCTGTTGAAAAGTCTGATGCAGTTTTGAATTTTTTTTTGTCATTTGTGACTTTTTTTCTCCCCTATGGAAGTATTTAGAATCATCACTGTATCCTTAGTTATTAGAAATTTCACAACAATTTTGTAGTATGGGTCTTTTTTTCTCTTTCATTCGGTTTGATCCTCAATTAACTCCTTGCAATTTTGATTTGTATCCTTCAATTCAAGGAAATTTTGCCACATATCTTTGATAACTTTCTCCACCTTATTTTATCTTTCTTTCTGAAACTTCTATTAATCAAATGTTTCCTATTATGGGGGGGATGGGATTTTAAGCAATAGTGGCAATATCTATAAGAGTAGTACAACCTTGAACTAACCTTATTAGATAGTACAACCTTGGAGAGGCAGAGCAGGAGGGCTACAGTAGCAGCTGTGTGGACACAGAAAAGGAAGTTACAGAGGCAAAAAGAAGAGTCCTCTGCTGCTGCTTGCTGCTTCCCTGGTTGTAAGTCTCGTGGGGGCCCTTGGAGTTCAGGAGAAAAGAAGGCGGAGAGTATGTACCAGAGAGAAGGGTGCAGGCAGGCTCCAAGGAGGGTGTGCCCGTTTCCTAATATTTCTTATCTTTTTGTTTTAATGCCTGGGAAATAGCTTTGATTCCATCCTCCAATGCCCTTTTGAATTTTTATTTAGATAATCATGTTTAAGTGATGGGGAACTCAAGAGTTACAAAATTTTAGTGTAGATAATAGTTAATAAGCTTTGTAATCAATGCATGTAACAAGCTATTGTTTCCAGAACTGAAGGTATGACCCACCTTGACTCCAGGAGACCATAAGCAGTCCCATCTTGGTGCCCCGGGAGGACTGCAAGCAATTGAGATGTCATCTGAGCCATTGTGCTCCAGGGTGAGACCCCACAGCCCAGGACACAGATGAAAGAATGCTGCAGCTTTTACATGATTTAACTTTTTACCTGAATTCCAAACCCCTTACCTATATTTTTCTTCTGCTTATAAAAAGGGTTGGTTTAAAATGGAATTTAAAACAGTCTGTTAAGGCACAAACCCACCATCTTCTTGGATTACTGGCCATCTGAATAAAGCGCCCATAAAGATTCAACCTGTTTCTGCTTATTGGTTCTGGTAGTGACAGGCAGCAAGAATGCTGGCTTTTCCGGTTTCAGAAGTTCTAAGTAGTTCTTTCTTCTCTGGTTGTTCTTTTAAAAGTTCCAATCTTGTTTTATGGATGCAACATCTTTTATCTCTCAGGTTATCTTTTATGTTTACATTTTCCTCTGTTCCTACTGTATTTGTGGAAATATTTTCTGTCACCTTGTTTTGACCCCTCGGTTTCAAGTTAGAGTCTGATCTAACTATTAAAAAGTTAGGCTCACAAAGATGATTAGTAGCTCTAAGTCTGTTGTAGGACTTGCTGATTCTTGGGGTTTCCTATAGGTGATCCCATTATCAGCCTAGAGCTGCCCCCCTGTATTATCTTGGGCTTGCTGTCTTTGAGGCCCAAAACCACTTCAGGAAAATAAATCCTCAATTTTAGTGGAAGGGAACAGGAGCTGGGGCAGAGGTAGGGAGTCAAGGAAGCATAGTATGGAAAGGGGAACTGGGAGCCCTACTACACTGAATATGGACTTTTCAATCCTTTGCTCTTCAGATTCAAGCCTTACTATACCTTCTTCCAAAGGCTGAGTTTCTCAAGGATTATTCCAGGCAAATTGAATCACTTCTGGTTGAAATTGCCACCTGATTCCCCTCAAACTTCATTTTTTTCCTGTTCTGCAAAATCAGTTGCCATATCTCATCTTCCTATTTTCTGACATTTATTGAAACTTCTTAACAGTTGTCTCCTCTAATTTCTTTTCTCTTGTGATTTATTATCTTTTTTAAAAAACTATTAAAGTCCCTGACTGCTGTGGTTTAGTTTGTTAGGTGTCATCCCACAAAGCAAAAGGTCACCAGTTCAATTCCAGGTCAGGGCATATGCCTGAGTTGTGGGTTCATTCCTCACTCGAGGTACATAGAGAAGGCAGCCAATTGACATTTCTGTCTCACATCAATGTTTCTCCCCCTCTCTTTCTCATCTCCTTCCCCTCTCTCTAAAAATAAATAAATAAAAAGTCTTTTTTTTAGACAATTGAAAACCTCAGAAGTCAGGAAATTTGAACTGATATAATACTAGTATCCAATGTAATGACCCTGTCCAAATATCACCAGTTGCCCCAATACTGCCCTTTATAGCAAAAGGAGCAAATCCAAGATCATAGCATGATTGTTTGGTTCCTCTGAGAAGCAGACACCAAGATTAGATGTATAAGAGATTTATCAGGGAAAAGACCTATGAACGATAAAGGAAGAGGAGTAGGCAGGAAGAGCTTTCAGACCATGACACCTGTGAAAGCAGAGAGGTGAGAAAGAATTAAAAAGGAAGAACTCCAAGCACCCTTATGTTCATTGCAGCATTGTTTACAATCACCAAGATATGGAAACAGCCCAAGTGTCCATCAGTAGATGAGTGAATAAAACAACTATGGGCCATTTACACAATGGAATCCTACTCGGTCATAAAAAAGAAGGAAATTTTATCCTTACAAACAGCATGGATGGACCTATAGAACATTATGCTAAGTGAAATAAGCCAGTCAGAGAAAGACAAATACTAGATGATTTCACTCATATATGTAATCTAATGAACAAACTGAACTAACAAGCAAAACAGACAGACTCATAGATGGAGAACAGATGACAACTAGTCGGGGCAGGGAGGAAGTTAGGGGGTGGAGAGGTTGAGCAAAAGGAAAAAGAACTCATGGACACGGACAACAGTGAGGTGATTGCTGCAGGGGAGGAGGGCGGCATATAAGGCGACTAAATGGTAATGGAAAAATATAATAAAGATAATATATTTTTTTAAAAAAGGAAGTACTCCAGACTACAGCACAATTCTAAGAAAATGTTAGCGAGGCCAATGAATGATCTCTGAGCCTGAATTTCCCATTAAAGGAATACCATGTTGGGTAGAAAGGGTCCAGTTCCAGTATCCCTGCCATGGTTAGTCACTGGAGTGTGGCCTGGTAAATGCTGGGGTAGATCCACAGAGTCAACAGGTGGGCATGGAATCAGGTACACTCCCCGTACATAGCATGTCTTCTTAAAGGGAGAGGAGCCAGATACCTTCACAGCCACCGCCCAGGCATAGCATTTACTTGTCACGTCTCTCTCAATCAGGAACAGTTCTTACTACTTCTTTGTTTTTCATGACCTTGTCATTTTTTTAATATAGACCAATTATTTAATAATTTAACAATTTATTAAATAATTGGCCTAGTGTTTTCTTATCAAAGTTACACATTTTTTGTCAGGGATATCACAAAAACAGTGCTGTGTTCTTCTATCAGGGAGCATACACTGTCAATTTGTCCTATTACTAGTAGTGTTAACTTTGTTCTCTAAAGGAAGGTAAGGTCTGCCAGCTTTCTCCAACATAAAATTATCTTTCCTTTGTAATTAATAATTATTCTCTGTAAATATCCAGTTTCTCACTAAACTTTTACCTACCATTGATGATTCTTATCAAAATCATTAGTACTAGATAGTTGCCAAACAGTGACTTTCTAATTCCATCATTCCATCTACTTTATGACTTGGCATTATACTGCTAGAAAGCATTCTTTTCTTGCCATTTATTCAATCCTTCCTGTATTTATATCAGTATGGGCTCATGGATTCCTATTTTATTAAACAGTAATTTTACTCAATGCCCAAAGTACAACAGTTGAAGCCATCAGCAGCCTCTTCAAGCTTGTCCCTATGCCTCTTTGACATATCTGTATTATTCTTTAAAAATTTTCTGTTTGGCTCTCAAAGGTGTTCCAAGTTGAAATACAAACTGCACCAGCCCTAAAGTCAGCCATTGCCCCAAAGAGTCCTGATTCTTTTTAATAGAGAATGATACTTAGAAATCAAGATCTGTGTTTTGGTGTGCTTATTGTTACTAGAAATACATGGTTTCTAGGTCCTCTTAGAAGACAGAGTTAGGAAATGTATGTATGTATGCAGAAATCT